CCTGATTGCTGTTACAACGGCTCTACCTAGTAGAATAAGATATCTTACGTATACCAATGTACATACATTATGTTTAATTAAATACACCTTAGTAGGTACATTAGCATGTTATCTGCTTCATACACATTAATACATGTATCATTAAGCCATATAAACATTATTTGAGATAAGATCATAAGATCTAGGTTCACCTCACAAAAGTTCTATCTCTTTCCTAGGTAATTTCCGAGGTGAATACAATCGAATGAAGAAATATTGAGGCAAAAATTGTGTTTTTATTGCCAATGTGTTTTCTGTGAATAATCTCAATCAATAAACAGTTTATGTTGGTGTTTTTAAATTCGACGGATTGAAATGCACGTGGCTCTGTAACTGTCATGGTTATTCATAGCTATTAAAAGCTAAAATTAGCTGCTATTTTAATTAAATTCACGGGCGAATCTTTCAACGGGACTCGCTAATGCGTGACATTTACGACTTGTCTTTAAAATGGATGTAAATTCAGGAAGTTCTTTTGTTTTTACCGCTAATCAAGACAAAGTTACTGATTTTAAGTGGTTTTATGGTCGTCGTAATCATCCTCTGCGCTTTTTCTTCAAGCATACTATTTAATAATTATGTTTCATAGAATCAAGAATCTTCAGATATTTCAGATTATACAAAAATGTAGATGCTCAGTCGTCGACAAATGAATTTTCGATCATCATCATCATTTCAGCCATAGGATGTCCACTGTTGAACATAGGCCTCCCCTAATGCTTTCCACGTTGATCGATTGGTAGCGGCCTGCATCCAGCGTTTGCCTGCTACCTTTACGATGTCGTCGGTCCACCTTGTAGGTGGACGTCTCACGCTGCGTTTTCCGGTACGCGGCCTCCATTCCAGAATTTTCGATCACTATTGTTTATTAAATACAAGATTAATACGATTAAATACAAGGCGATGGATAGGTACCACCTAAGTAGGTAAAATAAAATTACGTTAAAGCCAAATTAAAATGGTTTGATTATTGACTAGGTAGAACCTCCTACTGTTTTAGTACCTAATAGATAAAATACTTTTTTGATAACTTGCCAAAAAAGAACGTGTGTAGGTAGACAGCGAGACAAACACACTGTCAATTAGTAATGATTAAGATAAATTAATTTATGCGAATTTTGTTAACAACGCGTATCGCATTATTATGCTACTACTTACTAGTAACTACAGGTGGAAATCTTCTTATAAGTACATTGATAAGTAAGAGTATGTAGGTAGAGTCGATTTGTAAAATTATTTATAACCAAAAACCATTCGTATTCTATTAGAAATAATCCATATTGTTAGAAATTTCAAAATCTATTGTGTTAATAAATAAGTTATTGGGTGGAAATGCCCAAAATAATCATCAAATATTTAATACACGTTGATAGGTACATAGGTTTTTGACCTACAGTAGCAGTTAATTAACAAAGCCTAAATTGATAGCCTCATTAAGATACACAGTTCCACAATAATTTTCCAAGTCTGTTGATAATTTTCGTCACAAGTACAGATTTGTGAAGATATTTTGTACGGAGATTAAAAGCTTAAATTTTTTATAGCGACTGAAAGAAACCCAGTGAGCAAAAGCTAAATAAAAATTCAACATTCCAATTTGCCTACCAATGGAAGTGGGCAGACGCTCATTATACGCTGGAACTGGTCAGGTGGGCCCTCGCGGCGTCATAATCACTTGCTATCAAAATTAGATAACTGTCAGGGCACTTTCACTGATCGGCCGATTTCACTTTCCGCCCGCGACAGACGCATCGATTGCGCAACAATAGCACCGCAAACCGGTCATGCATGTGACATCTTATTAGCGATTGATCATCAGTAGCAATCATACGCTCTTTAAGTGCATATGATTTGCTCTTGCTGCAGCATCAGACATCTGAAATGTAGCTGACGTTACTCGTAGTACCATACACTCTTTCTTTGAGTGCATAAGTTTTGCTATTGCTGCAGCATCAGAGACATTCGAAAGGGCGTTACTTGGTAATTATATCTAGCCAGGTTTATTCCGAAGAATTTTCAGCATATTTTCCTGACTTGCTATTTTGTTTTTGCAAACCTATATCTTATCTAGTTAGGTACTTCAAGCAAAAATGTAAATAGAAAAGAGCGCATCAGACTTTGGGCACAGTTCCAAAAATGTCACACAAAAATGTCCATGCAGATTTGTAAATGTCTGGTGAAAGACTAGTCTTTCTAGTCTAGGATCATAGCTTCTATAGAGCTATTTGACTACTAATATGTTATAAAACCTAATTTAACAGATACCAATAATAAACTTAATCATGTCCTTCTCGGATAAGATTTTCCATAAATATTTAGATTCTGTAACTAATTATCTAGAATTCTGTTCAATTTATTGATTCCAATTTGGATAAGCATAATCGACTTGACTGCTAATTTATAAAATATTACAGCTGAGGTATCACATCCGTTTGAAAATCACGTCTCAGGCGAGATCTAGATAGAAACTAGAATAGACGCGGACACGTCTGCATGGCGATTCTTTGTCCCAGATTGCAGGGTTTATTTGTGTAACCGCACATGCATGCTAAACTCCCCATTCGACTCCAGCCATTGCCGTGTGATCTGCGAATTTAGCATCTAATAAAACAAAATGTTAAAAAAGTCGGATGTAGGTATGGTTAGGACGTCCAGCCTTGCAAGTAACCTCGAAGATTCAAAAAACATTATGGGATTTTCCTGACTTACTAATTTCAACATTTCAACGTAAAGAAACTCGAGATCGAAGGTTGAACGGTAGTAGGCTGATTCATTGTTATGACCAACTCAAATGTATTTGACAAAACCAAGATTAGTTCACCAACTTTAAAGCTCATTAAACATGATCGGCCGGAATTTATGTTTCCTTCTAAATTCAAGTTTGTTTGCACTCAAACTGATATGAATGGTGGTGTTTGTGGTGTCCGTCATAAAACAGAAACAAGTCTAATGAGGTCATGATTGTAGGTTGCAGCACAAATCGAATAATGGAAGCAGATCTAACTTTTTCTTCGGCTACAATCTTGAGTTTTCCCATGGACAAAAACCTAATGGAAATAATGGCAATAAAATAAACGCTGCAGAAGAAAGAAATCGATGGTGCACGCGCGCAGGCGCAGGGCCAATGAACGGTGACAGGTGCCGCGCGGCCAATCCCCATGCAGAGCGTCACTTTACGCGACTTGGTTAGAAATCACTGAATTATGTCTCACATCCTTTTCTACACCGTCGCTGGCCTCTTACGTAAGAGCGAGAGCACCAAGCTCCGAGGACCTCGCGTTCCGCGCACTATACGCCGATCTTTGCCTTCTCGGTCTTTGTTTACTGATCAATCTCCAAGATTGCTTTCCTTTTTCAGACGTTACGGTAAACTCGCCTTCTCGGGTAAAACAATCACGGTATCGTAAACGATGATAAGCTTTAGGAACTAATCGTGCACCTTTCAGACAAAGGAACCGTAGAACTCAGACAACGAACTTTAAAATCTAACGCAGCCTGTTATCTACATTCCGAGCGGTTGTCCGAGCAGCCCACAGTTAATCATTCATTAGATGAAGTGCATTCCGTCGCATACAAAGTGTCCTTCCTGTCGGTTACGACTCGCGTCGACCTCGCTGCAAACTAACAAACTTTCTAAAGCGCTTAGTCACACCCTCAGTTTTTCCGCTGAATGGAAACATTAATCTATTGGAAATTATAAACGAGCATCGGAGCATTCAATCTGGAGCAAATTTTAAAATGCCGATAAATTTCTAACCGATGGGAACTAACGCGCGCCGCTAAATGGCGCCAATATCGCTCGTTTTATTTACATCACAGGGAAAAATTTGGCAATCGGCCCGATCCTACAGACGTGCTGAGCGTCCGCTGCGATAACCCGCCGCCTCCGAATCCTAATGCAGATAAACAGGTTTTAGGTTTACGACGGATAACTGGAAAAATAAATCCACTTTATAAGCTCGTTCGTTTCGTCACGCGCAGCGCAGCGTTAGAAGAGTTGGAGCACAATATTTCAAATCGATTTGTTATTGAGCATTGGTAATTGACGTCGACTGCATATCGTTCATCTGTGTCAGGTGAGTGTTGTAACGAAATCATTCGATTCTGCTCGAACAGGAAAGATTAGCCCACATCGAAAGCGTTTACGGTAGTACTGGTAGGGAAAGCTGAGCTGTTAGAAACCGGCCTCGACACAGTTCTTTGCTGCGCCGTTTGCTGAGACCTAATTATGTAGGCGCTAGGAGTTGATCAGCGATAGGAAGACGAGGGACCAGCGGCAAGCTGAACCGGTCTACGTAACGGCAAAGCGGGCGTCTATTTTGAAACTCACGAGAGCTTTATGTAAAAGCTAATAGAAAATTAATTTCTCGACTCGGTGAGAGTTACATCACAGTACATTTTACTGTTCGGCGAATAATATTTAGTATTAACCAACACAAAGCTTCTCTACATACAAGGTTGCTACACAATGTTATTTTAAAACAGACCTAACCCTACGATAGGGCAAGTCTAGCCGACGTGATGTATCAGTCAATGAGCTCCAGAACACGCCATGAGTCAGTGCACTATCGACAGGACGTGATCCGATACGGTGATAGTAGCCGACTGATAAAGGAACTACAATACGGTGTAATTGTTATGGAACACATGATTTACGAGACAAAAGCGTAGAAACTGCACAAAAACCTTACATTTTCATTTCCATAAAAATACAGGTTAAATTATAAAGGTAAGAAAATTATTATATGTTGTAAGTTACCACATACAGGTAAGCACAGTCAAATGACTATCACCGCTTAGAAATTGCCTGAAGTCATTATAATTATGATGGTAATAGTATGTACAGTCGGATTAGTTGTGTTGAGCGAGAATCGGAACATAATTGTACCTAAAAATATCCTAAGTTTGAGAAAAGCCTTCACTTTCCATATAATTTTTAACGTTTGTATCAAAAAACATACCTGAGTGAATTGCGAGGATATCTTCGAATGGTCTTCCTGGTAGACCTTCCTGGCCTTCCGTCGCTCGGTCATGAGGGTGGTGAGGCGGTCCAGAGCGCGCGACTCCAGCGCCTCCGCGTTGGCCCTGATCAGGCGGCTGGTGTTCTCCCACTCCTCCGTCATCGTGCGCCATGCTGACGCTATCACGGACCCTGGAAGGTGGAATGTGTTGATATTTCTTCAAGGTTAAGATGTACGACCTCATAAAGGTAGCAGGAAGGCGCTGGATGCAGCTACCAACCGACCTAAACTTTGTGGAAATCATTAGGCGAGGCCTATGTCCAGCAGTGGACGTCCTATGGCTGAAATGATGACGATAAAAGATGTAAGTAAGAGCAAGTGATATCTTACTAAATGATTTTCTGAATACCATCATAGGCTGCTTCTTGCCTCCTAACCTAAGTAAATTCAATATTTACCTACTCGAAGTTTCCTGAACCATCACGATAAAATTACGCTAATTTGAACCAAATAAAGCAGTCTTATAAATAAGGTTAGGCTGAACCGGAAAATATGAATAATTGTGTCAACAAATCATTAACCACAAACTACAGAGACCTGCCTCTTAAAGCTATTCCAGTGGAAAATTATGGATAACCTACTTACAAATACGTAAACATAACAAAAAACTTTATCTCAAATAGTAAAGTTACGAGTTTCACTAAAAAGCCAGTCAAAGAACCATGTCAGGGCAAGACAATGGAAATCTTTACTTAGCTTCGAATCTTTTGTTCGAAAGGTTTTGTCGTTTATCGACAGGTAAAAGCTTACTACTGAGCAACAATAACATATTTCCTTATCTAAGTACAATGCATAGGTACTTAAAGTGCTTTAACAGATCCTATATTAAGTATCAAGTAATTCTAGAACACTATTTAAGTAAGTGATGTGACACCTTTTAGAAAGTCATCAGCGTAAGTTTATTGATACTTGTATTTGGACAAATCCAATTGAAAACCTATTACTGTAAGGTAATTAATTTAATCCTTTATGTATTAATAATTGAAAAACACAAACTTAAATAGATAAGTAAGTAGGTAGGTAACTATATAAGTACATATTTATTGTGCAATTGTAGAAGCAAATGTAAGTAACCCAACAAAGAATGGCTGTTTGTGAAAATTGTGATAGCATATTAAATTCCTTCAGCAAACATTGACAAAGACGTCAATGCAATCATAAAGTTTTTCGCCGCACAGTTGTTCAATCCGCGCGAATGTTTAAGGGTAGTTGTAAATCCAGTTCTACAGAACCAACCACTGAAATGCCATTAAGAATTTTAAATTTGAAAGTGGTAATGGGATCCAATCAGACTAAATTCCAACAAAACGATAAGGCGAGTAAATTAGAGGTTGAAAGTGCCTAAAGCTGTGGCGTGTTAAGTTCAAGCGAGCTTTGTTTATCAGGTGGTCGGATCTAAGTTCTAACCGTTGAGTTCCTCGCATTTGTCCATTTTCTGTCCTTGCGCGGCGGCGGCGGAGAGTGCCAGTGCGTACTCGCGGTCGCTCTTCATCTTGGCCTGCAGGCTGCGCTTCATGGCCTCCATCAGGCGCAGCTCCGCGTCCTGGCGAGCCAGCAGCGCCTCGTGCGCCGCCCGCCCCGCACCCGACGCGGCGTAACCCATCGTAAACAAACCACGTCCTCACTAACCGACACACATCGCAACACAACACAATTCACATCACTCTCCGTTATCACCGGCACCGTGCTTTACGTCACCTCGACAAAATTCAATTTATTGGCACCAACAGTCTCGATAGAAAGGAACTCACGGAGTCACAATTAGTCCGCTCCCTGTGACCGAACTTTTTTCTCGTGCTAGCACTCGCCCGCAGACTGGCCGTTCAGACTGAATAAAAAAGCAACGGAACAAAAAACGATTTCGATAGAAATGTTTGAACGAGGTGAGCGCGCGCGAGAGCACAGCGAACGTCCGTGCGAGAGCGGCGCGCGACCTGAATGCCATCTATACCTACCTACTATACGCCGAGTCCATCATGTATGGCGCAGCCGGCGGAGCTCTTGCATCCGATTGATGACCGTCCATACCTAACCAATGTTATCCAGAATTAACGGACAGTCATGCTTTAGCCGAAATCTAGCCAAGTGGTCACTTGAGATGACCATAGCAATGTAAAAGTCTCGCATCAAAAACTAACTCTGCAATAACTACAATCCTTTGATTAGCATTTACAATTTTCAGAAAAATCATCAAAACAGACATAATTATTGATTAATTAGATATCGAATCCGGCTTGAAGGACCAAATCCACTTTCAAGTCTTTGATTGAAGATTTTGATTTCTAAGCTGCTAAGCATAGATCATAATTATTAAGTTACATACTAGGTACTTACCTAATAATCTATTGTATTTTATAATCATAGTCCTAGGGACTAGTCGTATAACTATAGTTATGCAGGATAAAAAGGTACAAGATACTTAAAATTATGAAATAAATAACTTAGTGGATTTTTCTTGTTCTCGGGATAATGAGGTATACTCGTATTCTAATTAAATCTACTAGTTTTGTTTTGTTATTGGAGAGGCAGTCAATCCATCACGATCTCTAATCGAGACCACATACACTGAAACACTGAAGTTATATTTACAGTCAGTTAGGTACAGTGCCTTTTGAATGCGAATGCGAATTTCGGCACGGGTACGCGCGTGCGGGTTTAATCCGCATGCGGGCTACCCGCATTTCATTATTTACACGTTTTTATCGCGGGCTACACGCACGCGGCGGAACGCAGAGTCCCTACGGGTGCACCACGCGTGCCAAAATCTGCATCATAGGAAAAAGTTAAGTTACGTACCTAGGCTGTCTTTTATTTTTCAAATTCTTCCAGCTGGATTCCTACTATTTAGGTAATTTAAGTATTGATTTTTTTTTACATTATGTCATTGCTATTAATAAATATAATTTTCTTACAATAAACCAGGTATTGAACCCAGGACCGCATACCGAAAATCGCCAAATGTTTAATCACTGGGAAATCAAATTAGAGGATTAGGTACCTTATTTTGTTTCTACGTGCCACGCGCAGTGTAGGGTTCCGTAGTTGTCCTTCGTTACAACAATATAATATCTAAAGTCACTTTTCATATTTTCTTCTAAGGAATTTTTACTGGTTAAGAAATTTTATAATACATGAGTCAAATGACTATTACTCTTAAAGTAAGTGATCTATCTTAACCGCTATAGTTTTCCTTGAAAGTTCATGAAAAGCAGTATTATTACGAATTTTTCCAGATTTTTCAGGCCAACAGTTTAGTTTTTAGAGCGGGGGGGACGCCCTACTCGTACAAAAATTGGCACTTTAAACTTTAGTAAATTGCAAACAGATCCCTAAATCGAAAAATAGTCTTATAAACCCCTAAACCATTTTAAAATGCCTATCTAACGATACCCCACACGATGGGGTAAAAGATAAAAAAAAACATCCTTACTTTACATGTAGGGGATAGATACACTAAAATTTTTTTTTTTAATTTTATTCTACCGTTTTGTCGGCGTGATTAATATACATACCTCCACAAAATTACAGCTCTCTAGTGTCAGTAGTTTCTAAGCAAAACCTCGGACAGACAGACAGACATATCGAAACTATAAGGGTTCCTTGTCAGGACTACGGAACCCTAAAAAAGACATTCATTGCTTATAATTATCAGTATTTACTTTCAATTCCTCACTAAAATCACATTTATTTATTTACCATCCGACTTTATGACCCCCACCCCTAAATAGATAGAGTAGACCAGGTACGTATTACTTAGGTGGGCTACTTTGAGCTCTGACCCTAATTAGTGACCTTAATGACAGGCGTAAGCTAAAGAGAGCCTTTTTAGTCCACTCATGTTAATTAATAATCCAAAACCCTCTATGACCATTAGATACATCCGCAGACTAAGTACCTAGTTCTTTTCTTTCTCAATAAATTGATCTACATGCATGAGTGTTTCATTGGATAATGTACTTAGTTTTTTTTAATTAATTTATTAACATTCATTTCAGTTGTTACCTAGGTATTTCATGTTCACATTTGTTTAAAAAAAAAAAAGTTGTTTTAAAATTATTATTTTTTTATTTGTAGCATTTTCTATTCAAAATAAAGTAAACTTATAATTGCACGTTTTTTTAGTAATTATTTTAACCTTAAATAAACCCGAAAAACATAGCCCTCCTTCTGGCACAGTTGGGTAAAAACTGTACTGTTACTGAACCTACAAAACTCCTCCTCCTCAAACTAAAGCATTTTGTTGATTTTGTGTTTTGTTTAGTTATTTAATTTAAATTAAATGTCAGAAAGGATGACATTAAATACGATTACCTAAAAAATAATCTAAACTTATAATAAATCTGTAGAGATGTCAATTCTGTACATGAAATATAACTATCAGGGGGTGATGAGTGATCGATACTGATGCTAAAAATGCAATCAGTACCTAAAATTTTTATCTGTCTGTCTGTCTGTCCGTCTGTATGTTCCTTATAGAAACAAAAACTACTCGACGGATTTTAACGAAACTTGGTACAATTATTCTTCGTACTCCTGGGCAGGTTATAGTATACTTCGGAATTCCCACGGGAACAGGAATTAGCGGGAATATCCTTTTGTATGAAAAATCTAAACCGCTTAAGTTAGACGCTTGAAATTTGGCATGCAGGTATCTTAGTAAAATATAAGCCTAGTTACAACAGGATATTGCAAAATTCCCACGGGAACGGGAGTTAGTGGGAAAAAGCATTTGTATGAAAAAATCTAAACCGCGTAAGATAGATAGTAAGATAGAAGGGGGTAAAAAAACGGGATCAACGCGTACGAAGTCGCGGGCGGCCGCTAGTTTAGCCTATTTAATCAAATTGATTGACACATAGTTATATTCAGGCATTAAAAAAGCGAAGTACTTAGGTGCGGATCTAACACAATAATTGAAGTCTGTGATTAGTCATTGGTCCAATGAAATATTGAAAAATAGTTTCTATTTATTTAGAACAACTATTCGGTAACGTGATCGGGAACGTGTTGTGTTTTATTGATACATGCAAGTAACCTTAGTTAAAACTACTTTTAATAGGTTACTATTCAAGAACTATTAATTATACAAAATGGTGAGATAAGTCTTATTCATATTTAATCATGTAAAAATGCGCCTAAAGTTTTATATCATTGCGTTTCTTTAGTCATGAACATGATGCAGGTATTTTTTTGTGCTCAACCTGTGCTATTTTTGCTAACTCGCCTATGACTCGTATCTAGAGTCATGGTCATGCACCGTGGTCATGCCGTGGTCTTATTTTCGAAAAAGCGCGCCAAGAAATTATGTTTTAATACTTTCTACTACTCCTTGCATTGAGACTCAGTCTATTGGCACAATAGTAGTTTTTGTTTCTTTTTTGGAACCATAACGGTATCGGTATTTTTATTGTCGATTAAATTGAAATGTCAAAACTACAACAGACTTTCTTCACTTAACACTATTTAAAGCACCACAAGTATCGAGTGGGTAACAGTGTAAATATTTTCAATATTTAATCTATTGCATTAACTTCAACTCTAACTTTTTTTAACTCATCTTCATTATAAAGGATAGTGGAGTTTATTAGATTTATGCATAATGAAATAATTTGAGGGATTATTTTAGCTCAAGGGGGAACTTTGGCTAAAAACAAAATCGACATTGCTATAAGTCAAAGTCAAAATTTCTTTATTTGTTTAGACTAATAAATAGTTCTTACAAATCGTCATTTTGCTCTTAAGGAGCCTCTACATGTCTCATAATCTTTTTACCCTACCAGCGCTTCGAGACCAACATTTGGCAAGTGCTGAGAAGAAGCGCCGCAACAAACTCAGTCACCACTGTCTGCCGNAGTGCTGAGAAGAAGCGCCGCAACAAACTCAGTCACCACTGTCTGCCGGTTAATATAAATAAATAGAAATAGCAGTAGTAGGTGCATTCGATTCAGGAGCAGTTCACTGAATTTACCATGCATTCTTGTATAGTGTATCTTATAATGGGTATACAAAATTGCGTGGTATATTAAACAAGGTAGTGACGTGCTAATATCTAGACTTACAGATTACATACTTAAATACTAGTAGAAATGACTCGCATACATACATTGGAATAACTTGGATTGACCAGTCCCCGAAAGCAGCGCCTGTTCACAGACATGACGAGTGAACCAGCCATCGCTTCACTTGACCATATTAGAGGGAATGTGTATAAAGTTGGTTAAGTTAGTTTCATCATCATCATCATTTCAGCCACAGGACGTCCACTGCTGAACAGACTTTTGTCACCCCCTGATGCTTGGCACCCGGGGCGGACCAATCGATCAATCAAAATCAAAATTATCTTTATTTGTTTAGACTAATTAAATTAGTACTTAGAAATCGTCCAAAGCTCATAGTAATATGGATATACATGTCTCATTCTTTTTTTTGCTCTACCAGCGCTTCGAGACAAACATTTGGCAAGTGCTGAAAAGAAGCGCCACAACAAATGCAGTCACCACTGTCTGCCGGTTTAAAAATATAAAAAAAGTAGGAAGTTACAACAATACATTTAGAAGCAAGTTAATTACCACGCGTTCCCGTTGATAGAAAGTGGCCTTAATACTCTCATCTAGCACGAGACCGTGTGGCACTTTTAAATATATTTATTTAGTGCCGTGTTAATGTCTAGGTTAATATTATTGTTACATTTTGATACATAAATTTATTTTATGGTAGGTATAACTTTCCTTGACCAGTCCCTGAAGGCAGCGCCTGTTCACAAACATGACATGTGAACCAGCCATCGCTTCAGTCGACCATAATTATAGGGAATGTAACGACCTGCCTAACACGCAACTACCCCAGAGACATTATAGTGAGTATGACAAGTCTAAGATAATTAATTATGCTTCTGGCTAAGTGCCAGATACTAAACTATTTAGTAGACAAGGCAAGAAAACTCCAGAGAGAA